TGCACCTCGGCCTGCCTTCCCCCCTGCACCCATGCACCGGCGGCCTGCCTTCCCCCCTGCACCCATGCACCGACGGCCTGCCTTCCTTCTTACACCCCGCAGGTGGGGAAGGGCTGCTGTGCTGCTCTCAAGGCCCTCGGAGCAGTTGTCTACATCACAGAAATCGACCCCATCTGTGCTCTGCAGGCCTGGTAAGAACAGGGTGGCAATGCTGTTGTCTCACTGCAGGTACTTCATGTTTTTCAGAGTTTGATTGATGGTGTGACCATTCCTTACAGAGCTCTCAAAGGAGGAAGGCTAAGATTGCTCTGTTCCCTTCATTGTAAACCTGGGGCACCTAGAGCCTCTTGGCAGTTCCTTCTTGGATGAAATCTGGGGGAGTCTGAAGAGGCCAGTGTGTATAGTTTAGCACAGCTTGTCACTTAACATCCTGTGAGGTAGCACTTTAGAAGAGAATTTAGTTGGCTTATTTGTGACCAGCTTCTATTTCACTGCTCCTTGCTTTGATCATAGTTTTCCTTCCTTTTCTTCCAGCATGGATGGGTTCAGGGTGGTAAAGCTAAATGAAGTCATTCGGCAAGTTGATGTCGTAATAACTTGCACAGGTAAGTACCAATACTTTGGGGTATGTGAGGGTTGTTAGCTCTGAGGCTAAATCTTGAAAGTCTTATGACTGACTTCCATGCACAGTAGGTAGACCTGTGCTAGTGTGAGCACCTTGCAACTAGAGTAAGTTATCAGACTGAAATGTTTTCCAGAGCGAAGAGCTTTTTCTACTCTTCCATTTTCAAACCCAGTAGCTGAGCCTGAGGAGCTGTTGTAAAGTGCACATTCATTTCCGTATATTGCGCGCATACTCCTTAAAGCTAGCAGACCTCTCTCCCATGTTCTAACTGAAAGTCAGCCTTTGCTTCATAGCATCTCCTTCCTCAGCCACTCTCCTTTATTTTTAGGAAATAAAAATGTAGTGACGCGGGAACACTTGGACCGCATGAAAAACAGTTGTATTGTTTGCAACATGGGCCACTCCAACACGGAAATTGATGTGGTAAGACTGCTCTCATGCCTTTTTGGCAGGCCTTTCTCCTCTCCCCCGGTAGCCACACCGACTGTGTTCTCGTCCTTTCAGACCAGCCTCCGCACCCCGGAGCTGACGTGGGAGCGAGTCCGTTCTCAGGTGGACCATGTCATCTGGCCAGACGGCAAGCGTGTCGTCCTGCTAGCAGAGGTACTTGCTCCGGACTCTGGCAGGGCAGTCGGCGCTCTGTGTGGGGAGGGAAGGCAGGGAAAAATACTGGCCTGGGATTCCCTGAACCATGTCTTTGCGTGGAGATATATTTATCAAATAATCTGGTCCCCAAGTAGTCACTCAAAAAAGTATCTGTTTTCTTCTAAGGAGCACACTGTCCTGACCACAGCTGGCGCTTCGTCTTGTTAGGCTCAGATGGGCTGGATACAGAAAAGTTAACTGAAATCTAGAATTTGGGCTGGAACTGTAATTCTCCTTTCCCTAGTGTAGATAGTGCAAATGCCTTTCCTGCCTTTGCTTGACGTGAATGACATTGGAATCCAGCAGGTGGGCAGCATGGCTCATCTCAGGGCTCTCTCTGCCTTGCAGGGGCGCCTGCTCAACCTGAGCTGCTCCACCGTCCCCACCTTCGTCTTGTCCATCACAGCCACCACACAGGTATGTGACTGAGTGCCTGCTTCCCTGCACTGAGGTGAGTGGACCAGTCAGTGTGCTCATGGCACTGAGTCCTACTACATTCTAACCAACCTGTTCTTTTTCAAGATTGCGAGTTGCCAAGACGTAGGCTTTCTCAAGTAATCAATCAAGGCAGAGTAATGTTTGTATCCCTTTGAGCTGGCTCAGAATGTAGTGCTCAACTTAATTGTATCTTTTACCGGAAGCTAACAAACCCCAGGGAGTCTCTTGGCCAGGTGCTGGCGCTCCCTCAGGACCCCCTGGCGCTGTTACTGTAATCGAGGGTCACTTCAGCACTTACTTACTAGTTCATTTTTATGTTAAACTTAGTTTTATTTTTATGACCCTATCTAAGTTTTTTGTGCTTTTGGATCCTCTTTTCCCACCTTATTAGGCTTTGGCACTGATAGAGCTCTATAATGCGCCCGAGGGACGATACAAACAAGATGTGTACTTGCTTCCTAAGAAAATGGGTGAGTGAAAACAGTGGGCACCTATTTTAATCTCCCAGATTGTTGCACGGTTTATTATGGTTAGTATGAGAAGCATGATGGCCTCCCTGCTGGCCTGGGGTTATGTCTCAGTGCTGTCACCACTAGGCCTGAGTTCAGTCCCTGGCCCGGGAGGTGACTCACATGGCGCAGCAGACCTCTCCTGTCTGCTTCCCTTAGCAGTGTATTTCAGTAAAATCCATCTGTCCTGTTCCCCATTGTTTCTGATGAATCCTACAACCTAGTTCTACAAAACAAATAAGTATTTTTAAAAGTGAAAAGCATTGCGTTTAGAGCTCTAATTCCAATGTTAGCACCTGCTGGACCTCAGCAAAAGTTCTAATTTCCATGAGCCTCAGTTTCCTTGTCAATAAAGTAAGAAAAATACTACATATGCTGCAAATTACAGCTACTAGTGCCCTAGGTAGATGCTCTTAAAAGTTCCGTAGACTTCCATGACAACTGAGGAAAGCCTGAGACCAGTCAAAGGTTTTCTCCTCCAACATTTGTGTAGATAGGAATGTAGCTCCGGTCACGCTGATGACGATCATGCTGTGTTCTTGGGAGCTAATACATCCTCTCTGGTCTTTTGCCTTTCTGAACAGTGGTGCCCACCTTTCATCTCATTGTCAATCATCCCTGCCATCTTAAAGCTAAAAAACTTGTTCTTGTCCCCTCTTACCGCATATGCCAGGTTGGTATTTTAAAAATCCTTATTCAGAAAGTAAATCTGAAGACCCTTACCTCTGGAAAAGTAATAGTTTTATGCCAACCGCCTTAGAAATGCATGGTCCTAAAATTTGAGGTCTTAATGGGTCTTGTCCTGTTAATGACACAGGCTCTTTTGAGCTTATCCGTGTCCACTTTCATTCATGATTGGACTATAATCCAGAAAGCGGCTGCAGAAAGAGTAAAGCTCAGTAGTACATGTCGTGTTGGCTGCTGAGTTAAGCCAAAAACTTTACCAGAGCAGAATAGATGTACAAGACCACTCCGTATTGTCACTCTGATGAGTGGCTTCTTTTAGGTTAAGCAAATATTTCACGTTGTATATTCTTTGAAAGTTATTCCATCCCTGTCCTCTTGAAAAGTTTCAAATGAAAATAGGAAATTATGCCCTGCAAGGCATATTTAAAATATCCCTCCTATGTCTCTGCTACCTCACTCTTCCTAGATGAGTACGTTGCCAGCTTGCACCTGCCGTCATTTGACGCCCACCTGACAGAGCTGACAGATGACCAAGCAAAATATCTGGGACTCAACAAAAATGGGCCATTCAAACCCAATTATTACAGGTAAGTTAGGAGAAAGCAAGTGAGACACTTTTCACCAATATTAAAGTAGACAAATCACCTTTCTTCAGTGGTGTTTTTAAATACCTTTAAGTCATGCATTTCTTAAGTACCTGACTTTGAAGAGTTATGAAAACTGCTCCAACCTAACAAGGTCGGCAGAGAAAGCGTGTTATAGCAGTAGATGCAAAGATACTGGGTTTCCCAAACTTTTGGGGTTTCAACCTCACCCCCAGAGATTTCTCTTACAGTTGGTCTAGGGTAGGAGTCTCAGTTTCATTTATAAAAGCTCCCCAGACGATTCTAATACATAGTCGGGGCCGAAAACCACACGAGATGACCAGAGATGGCCTTGTCAGACACCCTGGAATATTGGCCCCGGAGGGGGTGCAGGGATGCCCAGCCCCGGCAGGGAGGCACCCTGGAGTGCCTGCTGTCTCTCGTTCCTCTCCGGGGGCTCTTGTTGAAGAGGCAACTGCTGACCGTTGTCTTCTTTCTTTACAGATACTAACGGACCACATTAGCAAGGACCAGTCCACATGAACCATGCAACTCTAAAAGAAATATTTTTTAAGATAACTTTTATTTTCTTCTTATTCCTTTCTTCTTGATTTGTTTTCCTGTAATTTCATTCATGTTTTGTTTTTCATCTCATTGTCCAAGTTCTGCAGGCCACACAGGAACTTGCTTCATGGCTCTCTAGATGAAACTGAGATTCAAGGTTCCTCACCCTAGTCACTAAAGAAGGATTTACTCTCCCAGCCCAGAAAGGTGATTTCTTTCTATACTATTTCTGGGGACGTTAGTCTTAATTAGGTACCTTATTAACAAGAAATGCTAAGGTACCTTCTATGTGGAACAATCTGCAATGTCTAAATTGCCTTAAAGAGCCCATTTCTTAGCTGCTGAGATCGTGCTCTTTCACTTCTTCAGAGGAGCAGGGATGGTACCTACCAGCCAGGTAGGTTAGATGTAGGCGGTGCATGTTAATTTCCCCTAGATGCCCACAGCCCAAGCCCTGTTTGCTATGTAAAGGTGGTATATCTGGTTCTAAGATGTGTACGCGTGAGTTGTGCTTGTTAAGATCCAATAGGCCCACTTGGATTTAGTACAGCCCCCTTCCTCTACTCCCACAAGATCGTCTCGTTTTCCAGGATTTTAACCAAATTGCATTCTATTAAACTGAATTTTGTTCCCAGCATTTATTTCTGTTGTACAAAAAGATATTTAAGAAACATTTCTAGTGTAACACTGGGGAAGTGCTCGGGTGGTTAGTTGTTCTCAGTTTCACTTTTGAACCTTTGGAGCTAAGAGCGCAGAGCTGAGGCTAGAGAAGTGCTTGTCTCAGACTCTGATAAATCCCTCTGTTTCTAGACCATCGTTTATTGCATCAATGAACTGGGGCCATAAAATCAAGTTCTATCAGCTCTGCCCCATACAGCTTTTGCTGAAGGCAAATTTCTTGAGCCATTACTCAGTAAAATGCACTGAGCTCTATCTTTAGGATTTATCCTTTAAGAGCAAATTTCTGGTCAGCTGTGCTTTTGCAACCTAAAATATTTAAAGGGAGGTAGAAGTGGATGGGAGGAAGAAGGCTATATTGGGCCAGGGTGGGGGAAATCTGGTTCCATCTGACTTGTTTAGGACAGTAGTTTCACAGAAGTGGTGCCGTTTTTGACTGGCACATAGCACACAAAGCTTGAAATAAGATCTTAAAGGGTAGTTGGTGCATAGAGAAAGTCATCCACATGCCCTGGCTCGTGCTCTGAATGAACCCCGAAAGGCTCTCAGAGATCAGAGAGCTGTATTCCCACGCCATGCACCCTGCTCACCAGCATTTCTGCATGGTCAGATGAGCTGTGTGCTCACGAGCTTTAAGTATATAATTATCCAGGATTCCAAGTCCTCAACTTGTTCTAGCTTGCCCTTCAAAGTTGAGCCAGGCATTAATGCTAGGTACTAGAGGTTCTCGTTTCTTTATTGCTATTGGTCAGAGAGACAGATGTTAAAAACAGGAATACAAAAAAGGAAGACTTTCACCCTGAAGCTTCCTAGCAGGGGATAATGTTCTTGCCAAAACATTTTTCCCATTCCTCTCCTGTCTCTTCCCACCTAGCCCTTCCCACCCCTTGCCAGTGTGACCATGCTTTCTTCTCTGTAGATGCTAATGGTTCAAGCCCTTTCTCCCAGGGCATTTAACCAGCCAATCAGAAACCACATCCTTTAGGTGAGGTAACCTGACCAACAGTGGTGCCTCAGTCAGCTCTGCTGGGGGGAAGGGACCCAGGTTCTGCTGCCCTTTGGCCCGCCCCCTGCTCCCATATCTGTTGCTGTGTCCATAGGAATAATAGGTAAGGGCTCCGTCTCTGTCAAGCCATGTAACAAAGGACACTGTGGGGAAATGTCTGGCATCAGAGGGAGCATATTGAGAGCAACGTGGAGGAACAAGTTTATTTTGTATTGAGTGATTTTTAATGAATGCAATATTAATCCTTGCAGATGAGCAATAATCATTAAAGTCAATTAAAATGATAAGACCTATTGGAAGTCTTGTGTCATCCTTCCTGAACAGCAGAACTTGATTAGCACCTGTTTTCTCAGGTGAGACACATCACAGATCAGGTCAGCGGTGTTTAAGAGAAGTTTGTTGGACCTTGTACATAGAAGAACAGGCTAGATGCTGACTTCTTCACTAGTACCTTAAGTTTTGTATGCCTGTTGTGGCAAAGCATTGGGGCTAGGAGCTTTCACTCTTTAACTTCCTTCAAGTGGACCTGCTGCTTACGCCCCAGTAGCCTGTGCTTGCATGGTCGTCTCCTAAGCCCTGTCTCTAATTTCTTTTCCTTAAAGAGTGCCTCCACAGTGGTATAAGTCACAGTGCCCTCCCACATGTATCCATCCGAAGTGGCTCTGGACTCTGGTGTTCCAGAGGGCCTTCTGTAGCAGTGACAGGCTTGGCAGGGCAGGGATGTGATAGGTGATTCAGATGAATGGGTTTTATGGAGACCAACTGCTGGTTGCGTACACAGACCTAGAGCAGATGCCTGTGCCACCGGACGGAAGCTGCTCTGAAGAAAACTTAGCACAATCCCTAGACAATAGTAAGTCTTATGGGGAAAATGGTGAGGTCACATGTTTTTCACCTCCCATTCAGAATTTCTCCCACCGTCCTCTATAACGATCATATGCCTCCAGTAGACCTGTAGCTCTTACAAAACCTTCTTAGAACCATCCATTAGGATGCTTAAGTGTGCAACAAGAAATTCCTGGCAGTCAGAACTACCCAAGGAAAATGATCACTTAAGGTCATTTGGATTTAGCAGGCCTTATCTTGCTTGTGGAAAGAACTTGATTTTACCAGATGATCCAGGTGTTAACTTCCACTTTGGGTTTAGGATAGGTTGGTTCAGCCCTCTCTATAAAAATCTAGCCCACTTCATTTTCTGGGACTGTCACAGTTGATGATGAGAAAGATGCTGCTGTATTCCCTTGGTTAAGTACAGAGTTATGGATAAGGACCATGTGCTAATTAAAAATGATAAAGAACTGAAAATTACCAGTCAATGAAATACGATGCTAAAATTACATACCTGATACTTCCTTATTAGTCACTGTCTGATAATTATTTATTTAAGAGAAGACTTCAGCAATTATGTTATGGATATAGAAGTCTCTCCCCTCAACTGGAGTAACAAGAGAAAATTTGAGAGAAAAAAAAAAAAAAACATGAAAATGTGCCACTAGAGAGTACATTTGGGACACCCATGGAAAATGAAGTCCTTCAGTAACATCGATGAGTGGATAGCTCTCTCTGAAAGGAGTGGATATATAAAACATACTTTTGGGATAATGATTTCACTGCATAAAGATTTCAGCTCTGGTTCTTCACTTGAACGCTCCCTCCCTGATAGCTCCAGTGGAGTGTCCACATGGATGAAGTGGCTAGGAGCCTGTTGGACATGTCCACCTGGCTGGGCACTAGGAGTCCTCCAAAATGGACAGATAGATGATCCAAACAATCTTTAATCATGTAATACTGCTGTTGACTTTTTGCAAATGTGCACTGTGACCATACGCCCCACCTCAGTCTCAGGAGCAGTTTTGGAAAAGACCACCTCAGGTGGAGCAGGTAGGAACATTACCACAGCAACCATTGTGACCACTGTCAACACTGGAAAAGGTGATTGAGGCAGAAGTTCTCCTTGTAGAAAAATCTTTGATTGGTTCTGAAAGCCATGGACCCACTTCCCATTTTTTTCTCAGCTCAGAAGACATCTGTAGATGTCCCAGTGATAGTGGCTGACCCTGAGCACATGATCCAGGGCAGCGCCACAGTAAAAACTCACTCACTCAAACCAAAACCTCTGCTGCATCGGCCTGGTGGAGGTGGTTTCATTATGTGGTATTCAACTACACTTGCTAAACCAACCAGGACCAAAAAAATGGCGACCAGGCATACAGAGGGTAACGACTCAAAGAAATAAAGAAGAAATCAAAAAGATTTTCACAACTACTAGATCATTAACTTGTATCTTGGTCATCAAAGACCTAAAGAGGGAAAATGCACTGTATCAATAAATCCTCCCAAACATCCCTGAGAATAACTCTTCCTCAAGTACCACAACCCTCCCAGACCCACAGACCATGCTAATAAAGTTGTAACACACCAAGGCGCATAGTGAACATATAATTCAGGGGCATATCAAGATGAGCGTCTGGACGGACGCTTTACACACACAACTTGCAACAAGAAAACAACTACAGTCTGGAAGATGGGTCATTCAGGTGCACAATTCAGTAAAGCTGTAGCTGAGAATACACCTTCTGAAGCAAATTTGCACATGACCATAAATACTCCGGAGCCTTATTCAACAGACAGTCACATTAGTGGCAAATAGTCATGTACCTGCTTCCCTTCAGGGACCTCCCCAGTTGAATGTGGTAGACCAGGCTAAAGAGAAGAAATCAGGCTTCATCAGAGGACTACATGTTTCAGCATAAGTCCTTGAATACTTGGGGCCTCCTCCAATTTCTGAGTCATCTCCAAGTAGAACTCCCACTTGTAAGGAGTCTACCAGTAATCGTACCATGTATTTCAACAAAATTTCAGCCAACATTCAGTCAAACAAATCTTGCAAATAATCCAACTCCAAAGATATCTCAGCTCTGCCCCCATTCCGGCTCAAAGACAAACAACCCCTAACTAGAGCCTCAGAAACTTACAGGCCAACACAAACTTCCACACGCCAGTAACAAGAAATTAGGCAGAATTCCAATGGCAAATTGAGTTCCTTCTCTAATTGATATTCTTTTTATACCAAAGATATATTAAGTATACAGTATTACAGTAAATACAATTTGGTTTTCTTTTAACAGTCTGTTCTGAAATAGTTTTGTGTACAGTTTGCTACTTTATTGAAGGTTCCATTTAGCGCCTACAATTCTTTTGCATAGAAGAGGGATATAGACTTAGTCGGGGTAGGATGTGAGAAATTCTGAAAGGCTCCTGTTCTCTTCCCAACCCATCCCCCAGATGGGACTGGTTTCCAGCAACAATTTCCATTTCTGCCTCTTTATGTACACTAAATCATTTATGACTTTTTTTTTTAAAGATTTATTTATCTGTGCATACAGAACTGGGGTACAGGCCAGAGGCTCAGGAGCGGAGAGAGGCTTCACCAGAGACAGAGTGGGGAACAGAACAGGCCGATCAACGAAGTACACTGCTGAGGGGAGCAGCGGGCGGGTCAGGAGAGGTCTGCCGCGCCATGTGGTCACCTCCGGGGCAGGCGGGAATCGAACTCATGCGGAAGCGGCTTTAGATTCTTAGTGCTGTGCTTTAACCCGCTGCGCCATCAGGGAGGGCCCATTTATGACTTTTTTATGGCATAAAAGGTTTCCTTGGTAATAAAATAGTGGGTGGGAGTGGGGGGGAAAAGTGGGTTATAAGCCAGAGATACAGGGAGGAGTGAAAGGATTCACCAGAGACAGAATGGGGAGCAGAACAGGCAGATATACTGAACTATAGTCCTAGAGGAGCAGCAGGAGCGACAGGAGAGGTGTCTGCCGTGGGTTAGCTCCCTGGCCAGGGGTCCAACTCAGGCTGCAGTGGTGACAGCTCTGTGACTTAACCCCTGGGCCACCAGGGAGGCCCCAGAGCCTGCAAACCTTAAAGTATTTAAACTTCAAAATAACAGGAGGTTATCAAGTTGATACATAGGCACCAACTTTAAGGGGTTTATACTGGACAAGTCTGGGCCAGTCTGAATTGTACATCAAAATGTACTGATAGAAGTGAATGGATGAACTAGTGGTTTAATATAGAATGGGATTTGTACATACTTTCAAAGTACCCCTCTGCAATGTTTCTTAAATACAAGGAAGGAAAGAGTAGTTTTAAAGTAGAGAAGCCTGCAGACCACCTTCATCAAGTAAACGTAAATAATGGGAAAGATTGAAGTCTTCCACCACGTGATAAGCTGCACTGAGAACACACATGTTTTTTGTGTGCTATTTCTGCTGAAGTTGCAAAGCGTGACTGTAACTGGGGGGAAACACCAGCCAATCCTAAAATGAAGGACATTTTATAAAACGTGGCCAGTACTCTTCCAAAGTACCAAGTTGACCAAAGTCAAAGAATGAGCAAATAACTAAGACACTAATACAGATTTAAATGAGCCGAACTAGATTACTTTGCTCTAAGGAATATCACTGGGACACTGAAACTTGAGTCCAGGGACTAGGTGGTGGTAACATCAGTGTTAATCCCTGAAGGTACTGGTTGAGCCATGCTTATGTGAAATATGTTTGTAGGAAATAAACACTAAGGTATTTGTGAGCAGTGGGTCATCAAGTCAATGACTCACTCTCAGGTGGATCAGGAAAAAAAGTATTTGTAATATACTTGTTACTTTTATCTAAGTTTATTTCAAAATAAAAAAAATTAACATACTGGGCCCTCCCTGGTGGCGCAGCGGGTTAAAGCGCAGCACTAAGAACCTAAAGCCTCTTCCACATGAGTTCGATCCCTCCCCAGAGGTGACCCACATGGCTCAGCAGACCTCTCCTGACCCGTCCGCTGCTCCCCTCAGCAGTGTACTTAGTCAGTCAGCCTGTTCTGCTCCCTATTCAGTCTTCTGTCTGGTGAATCCTCTCACTGCCCCACCACCACCACCACCACACACACACCTCTAGCCTGTACCCCAGCTCTGTATGTATAAATAAATAAATCTTAAAAAAAAAAAAAAGCAAGATTGAAAACAAAATCCAACTTTGGTTTAATTGATCAAAAAAAGTATTTTAAACGTATTTGCTCTATTTAGCGATATCTTAGACCAGACTAATAATCAAGATAAAAACCTGGGTTAGTAAAGAAAAATAAATGGACAAAGCACTATTTTACATGCCTACACAAAACAAAGTAGCTCACTGACAGTAATTACCAGCAAAAGTAATATACACCAGGATGGCTCAACTGGAAGTAGGTGAGGGGTGCAAAATGGTGTAACCATTCTAGAATGCTCCCTGGACAAAGGTTTACTTGCCAAATGCTTTCTGAATGTGTGGAACTCAAGAGAAATTTGTGAGTTTTGAAAGAATGTAAAACACATCTTGATAGAGTATTTAATCTGCTGACTGGGTACAGCCTGGGCTAAAACAAAGCCCACAAACTGACCCTCCATGAGCCAGACTTGGCCGTCGGAACTCTATGTATAGCTCACAAACAAGGAAGGGTTTTCACATTTTTGTTGTTAAAGCCATGCCTAATATTTGGTGACATGAAAATTACCTGAAATTCAAATTTCAGTATCTGGGGTAACCTGGGGTACAGGCTAGAGGTACGGGGAGGGAGGGGTGTGAAAGGATTCACCAGAGACAGAGGAGGGAGCAGAACAGGCAGATATATTAAATACACTGTTGAGGGGAGCAGTAGGCAGGTCAGGAGAGGTCTGCCACACTGAGTCAGCTCCCTGACTCAGGGATCAAGCTCGTACTGTGGCTATGATAGCTTCATAGTGCTGTGTTTAACCTGTTGCACCAGCAGGGAGGGCCTGTAAGTGAAGTTTTATACACAACCATGTTCATTCATTTAGGCAATGTCTATGGCCACTTTCATGCCACTTTGGCAAAGCTGAGTAGTTGTAACAAAATGGTCCCAAAAATCCAGAATATTTACTATCTGGTCCTTTAAAGAAAAAGTTTGCTGAGCCTAGGCATAAAGATTGTATTAGTTGCAAGAGAATGATGTATTGGAAGGTATTTGGTTTGTAAATTCCGTGAGGCAAGTAGCGCTTTCTATGTGAGATCAGAAAAAGTCTCAATAGTGATTGGCATCTACTCGGTCTATAATAAGATCTATAAGATAAGCTTTTAAAAGTTTTAGGAGTGTTTTTGCTACTTTAACAAACTGAGTATTTTTTAAACTGAAACAACATCTCTGCCACCACAGTAACCCTTAACATTTTTAAAATGTCCTCTGGCAAGACCTGTTCTGGATTGAGGACCAGAAGGTATTTATTTGTCTGACCCTGGGATCCTTTCCCTTCACCTTCCCCTCTCCCACTGTCTCTCCACTGCAGCCACCAGATGGCAACTTTCCTCTTATGTCTGGTTCACAGAGTCTGGCTAACAAAGGATAATAAAATATTGGTCCATAATCTGAAACCCTGTGTCTCAAAAGTGAGAACATTTCAGATTTTTAGAAATACAAAAATATACAGTAGGGGAACATGGGCAGCATTCCATAATCAAATGTGTTAATATTTCTGCAATTATAAACAGAATAAAAGATGGCTTCCCATTTGTTAAGATTTTGCTGCCAATTTTTTGTTAAAAATAAAACATTTTCTTTTCTAGTGTTTTGAAATTTGGAAGTGTGGCTGAAGTTTTTATTGCTCTGGATTATGCATACCACATATGGCATTTGTTGTGTAACTGACTCCATTCTAAATGCTGAGTCCTCATGCTAACCCTGTGAGATGGGCCCTACTGCGACTCTTTACAGGTGGGAACTGAGAGTGGGGTGAGGGAACTTGCCCAAGGGTGCATGACTTGTAAATTGTGCAGCTGGAATTAACCCAGACATTCAGGCATCAGAAACCAGGCGTGATACTAGGCCATATTACTCCTAGGAAACAGCCCAAAACCAGGATTATAGTACCAGAATCAAAGGTGAGACTGGCAAAAAGTAGCTTCTTGGATTCTGTCCCAGACCTGAAGCAAACTCTCAGGATTATAAAGAAGTCAAGGATCGGTTCTCCCTGGTGGCACAGTGGGTTAAAGCAGAGCACTAAGAGGCGAAAGTCACTTCTGTGCGAGTTCGATTCCCACCCC